CAAGAGAGCAAGAGGTAGTAAAAAAAAAAAAAAAGTAAAGTTCCCTTTTCACGCCTTTCGGGGCATCGGGCATATGGGCAGAGCGTCCCATATTTTTACAGACCATCAGCACTCTGTGGGTAATGTGGTCAGCATTACGCTGGCTGTCTTTACTTTCGGTAGACAACGGTACAAATTGGAAGACAATATTATGTGATGGATGAACAGCAGACTGAGAGAGTGCACAACCAACACAAGAGACAGAGAATGTATGAGATACATGGCAGTTAACCTGATTGACTGACTGAATGAGAGAAGAGGTCAACTGAAAGCAAAAGTCATGCCAACAGATGTGATTCAATACAGTGTGACTTATTTTGAGGCAAGTTTTCAACTGCCCAGTGTTAATGAGGTCCTAACAGGAATTTAAGAACCACTGCAACCTATCATATGTGTCGTATGAGGCCATTTGGGTTTGCATGAGACTTGCTACACCATCCTGTAGACAACTGTAGCAGTGACATCCAATCAACAATGAACTAATAGACAACTGTAGCAGTGACATCCAATCAACGATGAACTAAAAAAAAAAACAGACCTTTTTCAGTGCTTTCAAGTGTACTGGGCATATTAGACTAGACCTATATTTTATAAACCAATCAGCATTCATTGGGTGATGTGGTCAATATCCTACCACCTTTACAGGTACCCAGTATAGGTCATTTTAAGCCAGGTTAACCCTAAACTAGTCTAAAGTAAAGTGCCTTTTCATATCAGCTCCAAACCTATGAGCTCCCCACACACACCCAAACTGGCGTCTGTAGCCAAAGAGACGACTGGGTCAATCGGTCAGCCCTATGCAATGAAAGACTTGAGCTTGGCTGGCAGGTTTTCGTACCAGCTTATCAGATTGCTTCTAGTATTTCTTGCACTTGTGGGCGGTTCATTGACAGCTTTTGAGAAAGTTTGATGTGTTCTGTAATTTTACATATATTTTTTTCTGGGGTTACCTTAGCCCAAAAATTGCAAAAAGGACTGTTGCATCATAGCGACCGAAACATAGCTGGGGGCAGGAAAACGAGTAGAACCATTTTCCAGAAGTGTCTGAAGGGCCTCCAAAGGCCTTACTTCCCAAATAACAAGTGTTAGGACTTATTCAAGCTTGATCCATCCAAAAAATTTCACCAAATTTTTTTAGGTTATTCATGTTTGTTTTGAAGTTTTAAGAAAAATGCTTGCATATCAGAATGCAAATCAGAACAGTTAATTTGAATAAATGTTGAGATTTCAGTTTGATTCATAAATATTCTGTTAGCTCATTCAATTTCCTTCAAGAATATATATAGTTTTTTTAATGTTAATTAAACGCTTTATTTTTTATAATATTATTTGTGTATAAACTATGAAAATCCCCTCCTGAAGGCTTCGTCTTTTTGGAACTGAAACTCCAAAAAGGCTCCGTCTTCACAATGTTAACAAATAGAACAGACCTACATACATTCCTAAGATGTACGTTGTAAAAGTCAACTCACTAGAGGTGTTTCCTTCACAGTTGGAGTGCACCAGTCAGAGTGGTGAGCAACCAACAGTCTGCACACAAACAAGCCTGGTCTGAAAAAGGGATGTGAATGGAAAACTTAAGTTCTGAAACAAAACTAAATTCCAGCTGTGGACAAACAACTTTTGGCCAGAGTTTACAGCCAGCGAATGTGAAGACGGTAGATGTTTCTGAGACATAATAAACAAAACAGGAACAGTCAACAATGGCATTTTATTAAAAGATCATGTGATTAAAAAATGAAGACTTGTCTTATGAGTAATTGCATTAAAGGTTCAAGAAAGAATGTGAGCCTGTTAAATAACATTAATTGTGTGGAAAAAAGAGTTTAAATCAATAATTAACAATTCTGTAATTACTTAAACTGACATTAAACAAAAAACAAACAAAACAGCAAAGTACTCTAGTCATGCCAGCAGGCGTAGGAAGCTAGACTATGATGGTGCTTGATGGGTGATGTAGTCAATTCAATATATGCCGACTACCTTTGATTCTCAGGACATTTTCATTTTAGGCTTGGCTGACTAGGAAGCCAAGTTTAGTTTTTTCCTAATATTAAACCAGCGCAGATCTGATGGTGAAAATTGAACAATGCTAGATTGTGTAAGCGCTATTTATAGAGAAAGTAAAAGCGCCATTAGAACGAGAGCTGGCCTCACAGACTGGTTCCCGGTCGAATCAGGAGTAAGGCAAGGGTGTGTTCTTTCACCTTTACTTTTTATAATATTTATGGACAACATTAATAAAATAGACACAGCACCACCAGATGTTGATAAACAGGAGGACTTCAATGAGCTGCTCTTTGCCGACGATCAGTGCATATTTCACAGTGAAGGTAAACAGCTGCAGGACCACATAAACCAACTAAACGACAGTTGCCTTTAACATCACATGAAGATCAATACTTTTAAAAAAGAAACAGAAGTCATTAAAAAAAAGGGACAGCAACAAACTATCCACACAAATATCAAAGTCTTAAACAAGTGCAAGAATTTAAATACTTGGTAAGCATCTTTACACACAATGGTAAAACAAAGAGAAAGGAATGAGAATCCAACACACCAAGAATGACATGTACAAACTTGCTCCAATTTTAACACATCCTGCTATTCTAACAGAGACAAAAAGACAAATTATAAATGCAATATTTTTACTGACTTTAGGTTACCAATACCAGACTTGTACATTGATAAAAGAACACAAGAGAAAACTAAGCACCTGTGAGATGAGATGTTTGAGAATGGCTTTGAATAAAACCAGAAGAGATGGAGCGAAAAATGATGTGATCACAAGAACTGTTCAAACAACACCCATCATCACGTTTATTGAGAAACAAAGAATGAAATGGTTCAGCCATCTAATGAGAATTAAATTAACGATGCCAGCAGCAAGAGCGTACAACATGAAAATGTAAACACCAAGAGGCAAGGGAAGACCAAGAAGAAGATGGATTGAAGAAGCCACTAACACTTTGACACTGCATGAGGTCATGGCATTTCAAGCCCTGGCTCAGCTACCAATTGTCTGATGAACTGTGTTGCCTAGCAGTATAAACAGACATTGTATTGACAAAAGAAGAAGCCGATTTGAACATAAGACTCTTGGGCCAGTAGGCACCAATCTAGCTACTGCGGCTCTCTATATGGCAGGGACAGTGGTCCGGTGTTTGCCTGCTCTTGTGGTGGTCATGGGTTCAAATCCACATTGTAATAGATTGCGTTCACCTGAATTCTGAGAGCAATGCAACTTATAACTGGCAACAGGGAATATCCTGGGAAGTAAAGGCAAATGTTGGACACATCGCCCATCAAGTCTTTTTGCACAACATTACCTGATGCTTCAGTGGTGTGAACAGAGTCCCTGACATTTTTACTGACAAGAAAACATAAGCAGATCCACTTGAACAGATAGAAATCTTATTTCTGACGGAGGTAACACATTATCTCGTAAAGAGATGCAAGGATGAAACACTGCATTGAGTATGTAGTAATAATGAGCCCCCCCCCCCCCCCACCACTGGCTCCAACTAGACAATAACTCACACACTGACCCCAACTGGACAACCACTCACACATTGACCCCAACTGGACAACCACTCACACACTGACCCCAACTGGACAACCACTCACACACTGACTCCAACTGGACAACCACTCTACACATAATGCAACCATCCTGCAACATCCCCCATATGTTCTTTCCTGCACCGACTGCTTGCTTTTACTTCATGGACTCAAACTGGCACTGAAAGGGAACATGCTCAAGGCTGACCAGGGCACTATCATGGACTCAAACTGGCACTGAAAGGGAACATGCTCAAGGCTGACCAGGGCACTATCATGGACTCAAACTGGCACTGAAAGGGAACATGCTCAAGGCTGACCAGGGCACTATCATAGACTCAAACTGGCACTGAAAGGGAACATGCTCAAGGCTGACCAGGACACTATCATAGATACAACAGTGCTGATGTAAGAAGTTTAACAAAAATAAATTTAGGAGTGTATGGTTGTAAATAAAAGTACATGGATCCAGGGAAAACAAATGTTGAAACCAAAAAACTGCAAATGACTGCACTGCTCTTGATTTGAACACAATATGTTAAAATTTGTATTTAAAGAGACTCACATCAGCACATACAATGTTGATGAACTCACATAAAATATTATGGTCAATTTCATTCACCACATTCTTAAGTCTTTCATTCTCACTTAACAAAAGCTAAGACATTTGACACTCGACTTATTTTTCAAAGGCAGGGCTGTTAACATAACCTAGAGACCTGACCACCAACATAACCCAGGGGGAATGACTGCCAGCATAAACTTAAGATAATCTGACCATTAACATAACCTAGGAGACATGACTACTAACACAACCTAGGACACATGACACCTAACACAACCTAGGACACATGACACCTAACACAATCTAGGACACATAACCCCTAACACAATCTAGGACACATGACACCTAACACAATCTAGGACACATGACACCTAACACAATCTAGGACACATGACACCTAACACAACCTAAAAGACAACACAACTGCTCGCTTGACAGGTTCTAGGTGCAATATCCCTAACAACCTCCTTGCTAAACCTGCCAGCCCTCCATTGCAGCTTACACCAAACAGCGGTTAGTACACTGCTCTTAAAGTATCGCAAGTAGGCAGGTATGATACAGCCTTTCAATGGGAATTTTGTACAATGAAAAAAGTTAAGTAACAGGAAACTATCGTAAAATTTACACGCTTAGTCAATATTCTGAGCAACCAGGCAATGAATTACCACCATATGCTCTGTGACTCAGAATGCAAGTAAAAACATTTCTTCGAAATATGTGCCTGCTCAAATTGTCATTCCTGCTACCCCCCCCCCCCCCCCCCTGTTTGTATAGTGCCAATCAGTATCTTTTAACTAGTGAAACATCGCTCCAACGCTACAAGCCCCAGTACCCACTACCACCCAGACCTATTGTTATACCCTGAGTATGCTGTGGTGTCACCACCTGTGCCAGTCCAGGCTCCAGTGTTGTAGCCACCACTGGACCATGTGCCCTGCTGTTGGGGTTGTTGCTGCTGGACCACACCATACATCTGTGGGGTCATGTTGGCCATGCCCTGCTGAAGATTCTGTTGGTGAATAACCTTCTGCCTCTTGTCTTCCATGGAAGCATCATCTGTCATGGCATATGATCCCTGGGTGTCACTCGAAGGTTGCTGTCCACTCCAACTGTTGTTGGAGTTGCCCTGCAGACAGAGATTACAGACATTATTAACCTGATTATATTTACTTTTTTTTTCTTCACTACCAATAGTTTTTTCTATGGGTTTCAGACATTACACTACCAATAGTTTCTTCTATGGGTTTCTGACATTACACTACCAATAGTTTCTTCTATGGGTTACAGACATTACACTACCAATAGTTTCTTCTATGGGTTTCTGACATTACACTACCAATAGTTTCTTCTATGGGTTTCAGACATTACACTGCCGAAAATTCCTTCCATGGATTTCAGACACTACACTGACAATAGTTTTTTCTATGGATTTCAGACACTACACTGCCAATAGTTTTAGACATTACACTGCCAATAGTTTCTACCATGGGTTTCAGACATTACACTGCCAAAAATTCCTTACATGGGTTTCAGACACTACACTGACAATAGTTTCTTCTATGGATTTCAGACACTACACTGCAAAAATTCCTTCCATGGGTTTCAGACATTACACTGCTAATAGTTTCTGCCATGAGTTTTAGACATTACACTGACAATAGTTTCTACCATAAGTTTTAGACATTACACTGACAATAGTTTCTACCATGGGTTTTAGGCATTACACTGACAATAGTTTCTACCATGAGTTTCAGACATTACACTGACAATAGTTTCTACCATGGGTTTCAGACATTACACTGCCAATAGTTTCTACCACGGGTTTCAGACATTACACTGCCAATAGTTTCTACCATGGGTTTTAGACATTACACTCACAATAGTTTCTGCCATGGGTTTCAGACATTACACTGACATTAGTTTCTACCATGGGTTTCAGACATTACACTGACATTAGTTTCTACCATAGGTTTCAGACATTACACTGACAATAGTTTCTACCATGGGTTTCAGACATTACACTGACAATAGTTTCTACCATGGGTTTCAGACATTACACTGACAATAGTTTCTACCATGAGTTTCAGACATTACACTGACAATAGTTTCTATCATGAGTTTCAGACATTACACTGCCAATAGTTTCTACCATGGGTTTCAGACATTACATTGACAATAGTTTCTACCATGGGTTTCAGACATTACACTGACAATAGTTTCTACCATGGGTTTCAGACATTACACTAACAATAGTTTCTACCATGGGTTTCAGACATTACACTGACATTAGTTTCTAATATGAGTTTTAGACATTACACTGCCAATAGTTTCTACCGTGGGTTTCAGACATTACACTGACAATAGTTTCTACCGTGAGTTTTAGACATTACACTGACAATAGTTTCTACCATGAGTTTTAGACATTACACTGACAATAGTTTCTACTATGGGTTTTAGACATTACACTGACAATAGTTTCTACTATGGGTTTTAGACATTACACTGACAATAGTTTCTACCATGGGTTTCAGACATTACACTGACAATAGTTTCTACCATGGGTTTCAGACATTACACTGACAATAGTTTCTACCATGAGTTTTAGACATTACACTGACAATAGTTTCTACCATGGGTTTCAGACATTACACTGACAATAGTTTCTACCATGGGTTTCAGACATTACACTGACAATAGTTTCTACCATGAGTTTCAGACATTACACTGACAATAGTTTCTATCATGAGTTTCAGACATTACACTGCAATAGTTTCTACCATGGGTTTCAGACATTACACTGACAATAGTTTCTACCATGGGTTTCAGACATTACACTGACAATAGTTTCTACCATTAGTTTTAGACATTACACTGACAATAGTTTCTACTATGGGTTTTAGACATTACACTGACAATAGTTTCTACCATGGGTTTCAGACATTACACTGACATTAGTTTCTACCATGAGTTTTAGACATTACACTGACAATAGTTTCTACCATGGGTTTTAGACATTACACTTACAATAGTTTCTACCATGGGTTTCAGACATTACACTGACAATAGTTTCTACCATGGGTTTCAGACATTACACTGACAATAGTTTCTACCATGAGTTTTAGACATTACACTGACAATAGTTTCTACCATGGGTTTTAGACATTACACTGCCAATAGTTTCTACCATGAGTTTCAGACATTACACTGACAATAGTTTCTACCATGGGTTTCAGACATTACACTGACGATAGTTTCTACCATGGGTTTTAGACATTACACTGACAATAGTTTCTACCATGGGTTTCAGACATTACACTGACAATAGTTTCTACCATGAGTTTTAGACATTACACTGCCAATAGTTTCTACCATGGGTTTCAGACATTACACTGACAATAGTTTCTACCATGGTTTTCAGACATTACACTGACAATAGTTTCTACCATGGGTTTCAGACATTACACTGACAATAGTTTCTACCATGGGTTTCAGACATTACACTGACAATAGTTTCTACCATGGGTTTCAGACATTACACTGACAATAGTTTCTACCCCAATCTCAACAATTACTGCATTTCCCCAACAGTCTGATTATTCAGGATACCCTTTTTATGAGCCTTACTGCAAATATATTCATAGTTAAGGTCATCAGCCAGATGGGTGGATTTCATTCATCCACTGAAATATGACACATCAATAAAACTGTTAAATAACAAATGTATCAACAATATAAACAAATAACATTACTGACATTCAATCAATCCATCAGTATGTCATTTACAGAAGGTTGCTCTCCTCAGGACTCCCCTCATAGTCTCTCTTTCTCTGCTAATTCCCCAGCCCTGTGTGCTTTCACAGCCAATGCTTCTTCAATGCTGTATTTCCACATTCAAGGGGTCGTTATCTGAAAACTGCACCTTCCACCACCGTCCTTTACATAGGGCCTGATATGTCCAAAATACTTCAGCCATCAGGAGAGGATGCTGTTTATGAGCCAGTTCTCCTTGACCTTCAGGCCATGCAGGATGTTGAGATTTGTCTTCTTTTTGATCCACAGTATTCTAAGAATTTTTCTGCATCGTTTAAGTGGAAAAGCTCAGATTTTCTTCCCCAAAGACTGATTAAGAGTCCAAGACACATCCATAAGTTGCCACAGGAAAGATGCATGATCTTTTAACTTTTACTTCCACTTGCCTGTAGGTGCTATGTCACAGGTTCTTCCTGCTGTTTAATTGCTAAGGCAAGTCTTTTTCTGACTTCTTTTGTGCAGTCGCCATTGTTGTTTATTACTGAACCTAAATATTACACAAATGTGGCATTTTTAATCTCTTTGTTGTTGATCCTAATGCGTGGTTGGTGTGTTGTATTCCTTGTGGACATCCTTATTTTTTAAGGTTTAGAAATAGACTATTTTTTTTTTTTTTACTTTGCCTGAGTGGCAGTCAAAATTTATTAACCGAACTTAGTGCTTTAAAGAAGGGGAAAATATAAAAGTCGACAACTGTAAGTGAAAAATAACACATCCTATGAAAATAAGCCCTACAGCATCTTTTGGATCAATAGTTCAATATCAGACCCAGTCTTATCTAGGCAAACATGACCCGGTCTTATCTACAGACAAACATGAGCCAGTCTTATCTACAGACAAACATGACCCAGTCTTATCTAGACAAACATGACCCAGTCTTATTTACAGACAAACATGACTCAGTCTTATCTACAGACAAACATGATCCAGTCTTATCTACAGACAAACATGACCCAGTCTTATCTACAGACAAACATGAGCCAATCTTATCTACAGACAAACATGACCCGGTCTTATCTACAGACAAACATGACCCGGTCTTATCTACAGACAAACATGACGCAGCCTTATCTACAGACAAACATGAGCCAATCTTATCTACAGACAAACTTGAGCCAATCTTATCTACAGACAAACATGACCCAGTCTTATCAACAGACAAACATGACTGGTTTTATCTACAGACAAACATGACCCAGTCTTATCTACAGACAAACATGACCCAGTCTTATCTACAGACAAACATGACCCAGCCTTATCAACAGACAAACATGACTGGTTTTATCTACAGACAAACATGACCCAGTCTTATCTACAGACAAACATGACCCAGTCTTATCTACAGACAAACATGACCCAGCCTTATCTACAGACAAACATGAGCCAGTCTTATCTACAGACAAACATGACCCAGTCTTATCTACAGACAAACATGACCCAGTCTTATCAACAGACAAACATGACTGGTTTTATCTACAGACAAACATGACCCAGTCTTATCTACAGACAAACATGACCCAGTCTTATCAACAGACAAACATGACTGGTTTTATCTACAGACAAACATGACCCAGTCTTATCTACAGACAAACATGACCCAGTCTTATCTACAGACAAACATGACCCAGCCTTATCTACAGACAAACATGAGCCAATCTTATCAACAGACAAACATGACTGGTTTTATCTACAGACAAACATGACCCAGTCTTATCTACAGACAAACATGACCCAGTCTTATCTACAGACAAACATGACCCAGCCTTATCTACAGACAAACATGAGCCAATCTTATCTACAGACAAACATGACCCAGTCTTATCTTCAGACAAACATGACCCAGTCTTATCTACAGACAAACATGACCCAGTCTTATCTACAGACAAACATGACCCAGTCTTATCTACAGACAAACATGACCCAGTCTTGCTTAATGAAAGTTAGCTGAAAGTGCTTTTAAGGACACTGCAAAAACCAACCCCAGTATTTGTTAGCTTTTGGTGATTCTACTGGGCACTTTTTTTCAGTACTTTGCAAATGCTTACGGAATGGTTGGATCTCGATACTACCATCTAAACAATGCAAGACAGTCTGCTGCCAAATTGCCTACAGCTTGTGTCTGCCTCTCAACTTAAACTTCAGCTGTAATTTTTACACCCACCCAGAAGTTGCCAACACCCACTTGGTTGTAGCTGCTATACCCACCTGGTTGTAGCTGTTACACCAATCAAGAAGTTGCCCATACTAGGTGACTATAACTGTTACACCTACTAAGAAGTTGCCCACACCCACCTAGAAAGTTGCCAAAAGCCACCTGGTTGTAATGGCCACACCCACTCAGAAGTTGCTCACACCCACCTGATTGTAATTATTATAATCAGCATTGTAACCACTGTTCTGGTTATAGTTAGAAGCTCCTCCCCTGCCCCTAAAGTTGCCCCGCCCCCGGGGAATCAGGTCACTCTGACCATGCCAGGTGGTTGCTTTGTTGAATCCGGTTCTCAAAGAGCTGTTGTCAAACCGCCCCCTGCCTCCAGCAGAGCTGTTCCCAGAAGACTTGTACATGGAGGGAAGACTTCGAGCCTTCAGGGCCAGTTGCTGAGAGAACAAACTAGAACCATCGAGGACCTGTTGAAGATTTTATTTAAACACAGTGTGAGTAATGAAGCAGTTTGGATTCTGCATGTAGAGGGAATCAAATACAATGGTAATGAGACAATGAGAAAGATACAAGACTCTAACAAACCAAAATAGTAACTTATCCTAAACTTGCAACATCTGGATATTCCAACAGATTAAGTTGACTTGATTCAAGTACCAACATCACAGCACTTGGGCGTTCCCATAAGCGTTCTGTCCCCATTTTCAGCAACCAGCACAGAGTTCTAATACCAATGGTGCCAAGAGCTATCTGATTATTTGTCCGTCTTGTCTTTCCTCTGAGCATAGAATCTGGCCAGATCCTCTTGTCCCTCCCTGCAGCCTCACTCTCACTGGACTGTGATAAGCCTTTTACTCCACTGAGTTGTACCTGTGCTCCCATAAAGCCTTGACCTTGTGTATTCTACCAAGTTGTGCAGAGCCAGCCAGTCTATCCCCCTGTTTATTTCCTAACAAAAAACAAAAAGGTGAACAAACCAGAAAAGATATCAGAAATGATAAGATTACAAGAAATAGTGGAATAACACCCATAATTTAATTCAGTGAGAGAACAGATTTGGTTTGGCCACAGTGAGAATAAATCCATTGATACCAGCAGCGAAAGACTACAACATGCAAGTGGAAACATTAAGAGGCAGAGGAAGACTTAGAAGAGTATGGATCGATACATTGTTTATTATTTACCAAACTAAAGATGATAACAATTTGAAAACCGTTTATTTTAACACACAAACTGTCCCTTTATTTTTCAACATAATTTCCACCAATATTGATGCACTGATCCCATTGTTTTATCAGTCCTCCCAAACCTGCTGCATAAAACTGTCTGCTCTGTTTTCTAAACTATATTTTGACCTCACATTCAACTTCTGTGTCATTCGCGAAATGTCTCCCGTCAAGGTGGGGTTTCAGTTGACCAAAAAGGTAGACATTGCTAGGGGTTAGGTCGAGGCTGTACGGCGGATGTTCCAGAAGTACCCATCCTAGATGGGTAATTTTCTCCTGAATTAACCAAGCCGTATGTGGTTTGGTATTGTCATGAAAGAGCAGTACTCATCTACTCAGGGGAACTGCATTCTTAAATTTTAATCAATTATGCATTATGCTGTATGCTGAACCAGGTGAGCACCCTACTGCAGCTGCTACAGAGTCAACTGTTACTCACCTGTCACCTTTAATCATCTCCTTCACCCACTGCAGGAATGCATCTGTTGCAATCACAGCAGGATGACACGATCGGACTTCATCAACAATTTTAGAGCATTTTTTAGAAGAAAATATTTACCCAGCTATGCACCGCTTTATGGCGTAAACATTTCTTAACATAATCAGGGAGTATTTCCTTATGAATGTCCTTTGCAGGCAGCCCTTTTGCCTAGCCCCCCTCTAAAAAATAACATTTTTGTTATTTAAGCGGTACATTCCGTAAGTACAGGCGTCATTCTGTTTCTGTGTTGTGAATGCGCATGCAACATCTAGCGCCACCTAACGAACTGAGACATAAAGTTTGATGTTGCTGTCACCTAATGACACCTTTAGAAGCGACCAACTATTCTCCTGCCTTCCAATAACCATTTGTGACTTACTTATAGACTTACCCTTGTATTATGTTTCTACGGCCTCAAGAGCATCCCATCTGTTTATTATATAAAATGTTTCTATGGCCTCAAGGGCATCCCATCTGTTTATTTATATATAATGTTTCTACAGCCTCAAGGGTATCCCCTCTGTTTATTATATAAAATGTTTCTACGGCCTCAAGGGCATCCCATCTGTTTATTTATATATAATGTTTCTACGGCCTCAAGGGTATCCCCTCTGTTTATTATATAAAATGTTTCTATGGCCTCAAGGGCATCCCATCTGTTTATTTATATATAATGTTTCTACAGCCTCAAGAGCATCCCCTCTGTTTATTATATAAAATGTTTCTATGGCCTCAAGGGCATCCCATCTGTTTATTTATATATAATGTTTCTAAGGCTTTAAGGGCATCCCCTCTGTTTATTATATATGTTTCTACTGCCTCAAGGGCATCCCCTCTGCATATTATATATAATGTTTCTACTGCCTCAATGGTATCCTTTCTGTTTATTATATTTAATTGTTTCTACGGCCTAAAGGGGTTCCCCCTCTGTTTATTTATGTTAATTATATGTAACTAAAACAATGGAACTGGCAAATCAAATACTTCTTCTCAAATGTGAATTGTATTCTAGAGACAGCATTATGTTCTGATGTGCTTATAATTGTTGGTGTCTGTTATGTGACCTGTGCTTGTTTAATGTAAGTTTCTATAACCTATGGTGCTATTTCAATGGTTTGAAATTAATTCTGTCCATATTCCATAATTGTGAATTTCAAGCTATATGACAGACATGGCTAATGAAGACACCTTTAATCTGGGGTATGTAGTTGGTCATGTATTGTAATACACTTTTTTCCACAGCGAGGCAGATTCGTCACTTAGTGGTGACAGGTTCAAGTCCCAACAAAACAACTAGAGCTTTCGACTGTTATGTTGTCTAGTGGGTATTTTCTATTTTTCTACTTCTTTCTATACATTGTCTATTTGTTTGTTACATTCAACAATGAAGGTGTATATGCTGGTCGGGGTGTGTACAACACCAGGGTACAAACGGGAGAAAAAATATATTTAATACGTAAGTCTCTAGATCAAGCTCACTCTGACAATTGTAAGCCGTTTTCAGAAAACGGATGCAGTCTGCATGTCAGTGCATCTAACCCTTCTTTAAGACAAGACTAAGCAAGAGAAGTCTACCTGAGTGGCATACTGGACACTTTCTGGGTGCTTAAATACAACAAACGCCTGGCCAGTGTGTCTTTTATTTTCTCCGCTGCCTTCAGTGACGAATATCAACTTCTCCATGGGCCCAGTCTAAACAAAAAAATAAAAAACGATAACAATTATAACAGAATACCAGTTCACAAGCATTTAAATGAGAGATTTGTGCGACTCAACAAATTTTGTATAGAATCAGTAAATGTAATCAGAACTGGTCAGAGAAACTAGCATGACATTAGGTTTCTGATCATCTGAAAAAGGGGGCTTCAGATCACGAGAAGCAGGGGGCTACAAATCATCAGTAGGGGGCTTTAAATCAGTTTCCAACCTTTAGGGGGGTGAGAGGTGAGGAGGTTTCAAGGATGGGGGGCGGGGTATCAATCAATTGTGAAATTGAGTGCATCTGTATTTATAATTAATCTGTTATATTATTTTTTCAATTTGATGAACAAAATAATAAAATATTTTTTAAAACTATTTAGAAAACAAAAAAGCCAAGGTTTTTTTGTTTGTTTTCATAAGCACTTTGTACACACAGTTAGAAATCGAATTAACAGGATAACACACGCATTCACGGATTAAGAACACATCCTGACTAAAACATATATCTATACTGTCTGTTTTACTTGTTGCGGAATATATTCTCCTTTTTTCAATCACATTGTTTTTTTGTGTGGAGGGGGGGGGGTGTTTCACCTAACATGGATTAGAGACCACCGCTGGGGGGGGGGGGGGGGGGGTTGCAATATACTCAAAGAGGGGGGGGGGGGTTGCAATATACTCAAGGAGTGGAGAGAGGGGGTTGCAATACACTCAAGAGTGTCACCTTACAAGGATTGGAGACCACTGCTCTAGATCATTAGTAGGAGGCTTCAACCATCAGAAGGGGGGGCCCTGTTGGAGAATGTTTCAGCCCAGATCACATGATAAATGTTTTGTAGGAATTGTTATTATTTTACTAATATTTTCTAGGCATTGTAAAATTCTTCTTCTTCTTAGCGTTCACCGGCTGTAAACTCCAGGGGAAAGTTCTGGTTGTTTGTCCACTTCTGGACTTTGGTCCTGTTTTGTTTGCAATCCATTTCACAGATCTGGCGCATTTGTATGCAGACTGTTAGTTCCTTGCCTCTCAGGCAGATGCACTCCAACTTTCAAGGAAACATCCCTAATTAGTTGCCAAGTACAACATGCTTGTCAGAGGGGCAGTGAGTCTACTCCCCCCCCCCCCAAATAAGGCCCTGGAACCCACACAGGGAGTCTCTGACATCTCAAAACAGAAGAACCCTTCTTCTTCTGCCTTGTTTTCCCCAGTGGAGCATAGGCCCTCAACCAACTTAAGGGCAAGTTGTTCTATCCTTTGCTATTGTATGTAACTTATCAACTTCACACTCTCTAGCTATAAATTCCATTTGGTATTTCTTTACTTCTATGCCCCTGTGGGTTCCAGTGCAAAGATATTCTAGTTATACTGTTCTCAGGTTTTCTCAACGTGTGTATTATCCAACGCCAGCATCTTTTCTTCACCTCTAGATCCATTAGAAATTGTTTAGTTCTCTCCCAAAGCTCAATATCAGTGATTCGATCATACCATTAAATTCCCTCTGTTCTGCGCAGGCACTAGTTAATATATGTAGTTTATCAGTAATTATTTTAGTTGTTTCTTTTTAATTTTTCCACACATACAGCAGTAGTGACTTAGAGTTAGAATTAAACAATTTTAGATTAGTATCAGTTTTAATATCTTTTGATCTCTACAAATTTCCTAGTATTATCAAAACTCCTTTTGCTTTTTTTAAATTCATATTTTAATATCTTAATCAGTTCCCCCATCTTTATCTACATTACTGAACAAATATTTCTGTGATTCCACGTCTTGCAGTGGGAGAAACTAAAAGGAACTAGATTACTATTTGCCTGGTTTATTCTCATTATCTTTGTCTTTCCCTTGTGGATTTTCAGAACTGGCTGCTGTGATCTCGCATCAAGTATATTTATCCTGCAATCATGGGTGGGATAGCAGGGAAATGTCATCAGCAAAGTCCAGATTATCAAGCTGTTTTGTAGGGCTCAAATTTCTGGTGTTAGTGATTGCTGTCTTCACAATCCAGTCTACTGCCAGTAAAAACAGGAGAGGCGACAAAAGACACCCCTGTCACACACCTGTACTTACTTCAAATGCATCTATCTGTTAGCTTTTCCTCGTGAAGAACTTAACATTTCATGTTTTTATATGTGGCTTTTACTAAGCTCATAATTTCGAGTGTGATATCAGTGGCCCATTGATTTCCCCTATCAATACTGTGGTAAATGAAGTTCAATGCTTTGCTCTTTTATTGTCCGTAGTGTGGCTAGACTCTCAGTACAGGATCTGTGTGGCCGAAAGCCTGCCCGTCCATCCCTTAGCCATTTATCAATTGCATCTTTTAGTCTTACCCCAAAAAATAATTATTAATATTTGAAATTGACAGCAAAATAATTCCTCTATGTTTTCACTCCTGCAGACCATCTGTTTATCGGGAAGTCTCACAAGATATCCTTCTCTGCTGGTCTTTCTTTGGTCTCCCAATAATTGAATAATTTGTGTGAAATTCCACAGATTTTTTTTTTTAACTGGCTGTGGATGTGTTTTTATTAACTTCTGCTGAGATACCATCTGAACCTGCTGCCTTTCCTAATTTTAGAAGATTAATAGTTTTCCTATTTTTTTTCTTGAGGTAGGGGTCAAAGCAAGGGTTGGCAACATTTTTTTTTGGTGTGCCGCAGATCAAAGGTAAATTAACCAACCTGGTCATGGGCCATATGAAGAAAAAACTCCCATTATAAACATGATAATTTTGTGGAAGAATCCATGTTTTTGTCATCTGTTGTTTTGTGAGCTCAGGGCTCAGACTATATAGTAATTTTACACCAGACATGTGGGTCAGTAAAAATGTACGGTTTGACCCCTAGATTAGATTGCAAAACAATATCAGGAAATACGCTGACAGAATCAGTGCTAAACTACATTAATTAGGAGATAACAGAACTATTGTAACAATAAAAAGATTCAAACGCGTGTCCGGACTACCCACAGACAGTGAGCCACAGAGAGCCATGTAACTTCTTAGAAACGATGGGTAGAAGAAATATCAGAGGCTGTAAATACCCCAGCTTTTTAGTAGAGCACACACAAGGGCTGGCACCAGATGTCTCTTTAAATCGTGTTGCTGAGAATGGAAGAACAAACCTACACAGAAGAAGAAAAAGAAGAGACAGACTCAGACGCTGACCAACTTGACCAAGACAGAAAATTTGAGGTTTGGGTTTCATGGCATCGAAGAACGGACAATTAAATAACCTGTTTCAGAAACGACTGGTCGCCAACTGTTAACTGTACCGAGCCACAAATCGCCTACTCAAGTATTTAACATTAATTAGTATTTTAGAATATTTCTTCTTTTTATCGTCTGTGTCTTGGCCTTGCGTTGTTCAACATGTGCAGTGCAGTCACTAACTATAGCGACTACGGTGTTCGGCAATTTGCGGTCTTTTGGCAATTTCCGTTACCATGGAGACCGTTCGAAACTTGTTTGGGAAATGTCGGCTGGTTTCGGGATGGGTCCCAATCTTTCGTAAAATTTTGCGATTGGTGTGATTTTCACCAGCTATAAATAGCTCGGAACGAACCCGATTAACAGCGCATGGACATCCTCTGTTTTTCTGTTACATCAGTTTGATTAAAAATAGCGGTAAGTATTCAACGTTGGCTTTAGGCTTTAACATTACTCGTACTGGTAATGCTAGTTATAATTGAATTCTCCGTCCAATTTTACATTTGTTTATTAACTTTATAAAATTTCTTTCTTATCAGTGGCTTTTCAGGCAATAGTTATTATGTGGCTGTGTCTCATTGTCTGCCATCTTGTCCAATGAAAACAAAGCCAAACGATAAGTGCGCAGTTTGGTTGCGCAGAGAAAACTTCTTGTTTCTGGGACACAAGTTTTCGACAGCTGTTTTTTACATCTCATCTCCACAAAAACCTACATATCATATCTCAGCTCAGAAATGTCATACAAGCCTAAATGAGGTACCATTGAAAAGAGATTGTTTACAGCTGTCTAACTGTGCTGGTTTTATTGGTGTAGAGGGCATTTTGAAAATTTGACTAAAGTATCTACCTGAGTAACTAATTAATATAATTATTATTAATAATAATAATTAATAATAGTTAGTGTTAGTGACTGCACTGTACATGTTGAACAATGCAAGGCCAAGACGATAAAAAGAAGAAATATTCTCTGCAAATCGCATTGTTGTACCTTGTGTGTTTAGTATTCAACGACTCACCTGAAGAAACAGTTCATACAATAACGGTTCAGTGACATTCTCATCGAGGTTGCCAACCCATAGCGTCCTGCCATCTTCCGACATCTTGAAATTGTCTGGGACTGAAGGGGAAATTAGTCTGATTTTTTTCTAGCGTTACATGTAGAACAAAATTATATCCCCTTCATTTTCATCAGCGTTCTTCTTCATCTTCAACTTATTATTATTATTAATATTATTATGATTTCTCCTTTTTCTTCGTTCACCTCCAAGTAACAGTGTGTAACTTTCTTCTTTTCTATCTTTCTAGCTTCTCTTCACCCTCTTGTAACCTGTGAGGAGCTTTTCGCACTTTCTGCAATTGCTTAACTACTGTTCGTTTTGCTCTCCATGCTTGTTCTACTTCTTGGGTCCACCATGGAGGCTGCACACAAGCAGAGGAGGTGGTTCTACTGCACACCTTCTGTCGGAGTCGTCAAAGAAAGGCGCTGTCCCTTTCATGCTTAAAAGTCCTGCGTGTTCTTACAGCCCTGATATTGCTAGTTTTAGAAATCAACACTGTGCATGGCATATGGTCACTCCCATGATCGCCTAGGACACTCAATTTTGTGTCCAGCACTGCTGACTGGGTAACTAAAGCCAAATTAATAATCGTGTTTGCATCAATAGGTCTCACAGCCATTCTAGATTGCCTACCGTCGTTTATACAGACTACGTCTGCATCCACCATAGCCACTGCTAAAACATTTCCCTGTTTATTTACCCCAGTTCTGCCCCATGTTCTGTTCCGCACATTGAAATCTCCACAAATAGGAAGCCTACATATTTCCAGGGATTTCCTCCAACTCTTTGAGCCAGTCATAATGTCCCTTTGTGACAAGAGATTCAACAGCAGGGTAAACATTAACTAAATTCTACGTTGTTCCCCCATTATCTATCTGTATACCCTGAACCTCTAGTGTACGATGATTCCACTGGTCCAGGTCAAGAACCCCATGCTTCACCAGCAGACATTGCCCATGTCTTCCCAGTCCGATAGGATTTATATAACTAATGTATCCATGACACTCATATGTGTTTAATTCCTGCAGGATAATGACATCAAAGTCATAAATCAGTCTCTCCAGTACAGGTCCTGTCTGCTTGGCCAACGACAATTCCAGTAACCCACTATAATATTCCTTGTTTTAGCCGGACTCTTCGGGCTCCGGCTCTCCGGGCTCCAACTCTCTGGGCTCCGGCTCTCCGGGCTCCGACTCTCCGGACTCCGGCTCTCCAAGGCAGAAGAAAACCTGCAGATGGAATGATTAGAAATGCAGTTGAATTTCAATTTCACTCAGAGCAATCAATCTTGAAGTGGGGATATCTGGGGGTTTTTTCCCTTGCTTTTCTGAAAAGTTCAAAAACTTCAGAAAGTTTACCACAAGGATTATGGCACTGTTCGGTTCTACTTGTGTTCTACATATGTTCTACCTATGTTCTCCCTTTGTTCTTCCTTTGTTCTACCTATTTTCTACCTCTGTGGGTGTGAACAGTTTTTCCCTTCATGAAATCCAGAACAAAATAAATGCTCATTTTGATATGTAATTTTTGCAGTCTTTTTGTTGACGTTGCACAAAAGTTTATGATGCTGTTTAAAATTTATTTATTTATTTATTGTATTTTTTTCAACTACTTCCTTACTCGTATTCATGAATGTGGCTAGCTGATAAATCTTTTGTATGCACATTGTATGTTTTCATGTTTGAGTAATCAAAATAGTCTGCAATATTTTTAATTAAAGGAATTCAATTAGTTGTCATGAATAGGTCTCATCACAGAGCAAATTTGAAATAATGAAATAAATGCCCATTATGCCCACTTTCACTTTGAACTGCCTGCTCTTAAATGCTCAGTTACAATAGGAATAAACTCACAGGGAGCAAGTACAGCAGGGATCTACCAGTCATCAGTAGAAGTTATCCTCGTCGAGAAACGTTTCGGCCCACGATCTCCTAGACGTTTTCAGAGGTGGGCCCACCTGAGTTCATGAAGCTCAGGGCTGGTATCCTGCTGCACGAAATTACCGGATGGTGTTTTTCTTTCGGATAGAGAAAAGACGAATTGGTGATTTGCATAAGGTACTGTGAGATACGAAGTCGCCGCGGTAGCCTAATTAGTACAGTCAGCATACCTGGACGACCGAGCGACAAGCTTACGATTGGTTTACCGGACACATGTTGGACTTTGTTAGCAGGTGGCAGAGGATCACTGGCAGACAATTCGGACACGATGGACTTTCAAGGGATGAAAAACTCTTTTCCGCTAGACACCCGGACCAGCTCACCGAGGCCCGTCTCCTACGTTGTTTCGTTGCGTCCAAAGCCAGCTCGAGGCCCTCTCGGCTGCCTCGCCCAGTTTTTTAAGTGTTCGTTTCCGTTCATTACCGCGCAATCCTAGTTCTTTAATCACATTGTACAGTGAAGTGGAGACTAGACCTCTCGCTCCCACTTCGACGGCAAAGACACGTACTGAGTTACAAACTGAATTCCGCCCCTTCCCCTATCCCTTCCCATCTTCTTTTTTCCTTTTAATATTTTATCATAAGATTTCAATGCTAAATGCAGACATTTTTTTTTTTTTTTGTGATATAGTTGCTCTCACATCGTTTGTACACGCGAGTTGTACGGTGACCATATCGTCCCGTTTTGCCGGGACAGTATCGTTTCATAAAAAGAACTCCACAGCGGAGCATGTACAGCAGGATTCTACCATCATCTGTAGAAGTGATCCCTCGTCCACAGTTGTTTCGGCCCACGAGTTCCTAGACAATTTCAGAGAGTGGTCCCACCTGAGTTGATGAAACTCAGGCTTGATCTGCTCCTGCTGCACGTATTACCGGATGTTCTCGGACAGGGACAAGACGAAAATGGTAACTATGCAAAAGTACTGGGAGGTTCAACGTTTATTTCTAGTCACCGTGGTAGCCTATTAGAACAGTCGGCGTACCTGTACGACCAAGTGGCAAGCATACGGTTGGTTTATCGGACAACATGTTAGACTTTGTTGACAAAATGGCAGAGGGACACCGGCAGACATTTCGGACACGATGGACTTTTAGGAATAGGACTTTCTTTTCCACTAGACACCCAAACCAGCCAACCGAGGCCGCCGCCCCCCCCCCCCCCAACCCCACGACGTTCCGTTGTGTCCAGAGCCAGCTCGAGGTCCCTCTCAGCAACCTTGCCCAGTTGTTTTAGTGATCGTTTGCACTCATTTCCTCGCAAGCCCAGCTGTTTTATCACACTGTACGTAGAAGTGGCAACGAGACCTCTCGCGCCTACCTCGACGACGAAGTTTCTGACTGTGTACGCTTCGTCTCTCCTCAGACCAGCCGCTAAGTCACTGTACTTCTCGAGCTTGTACAAGCTGCTTTCGTCCATTCGCGACTCACAGGGCACGGTCAGCTCGATCAGGATGAGCTGATGTTTCTCCGCAGAGTGTAGGACTATGTGGGGGGCGCAGGCCGGTCTTCCGGATAAACTCTGGGTAGCTTTAAGGACACATTGAGTCTTCACTCAAAGCATTTGGGATGAATGAAACCAATTTGGAGGCTGCCTCTCAAGACCATAATGCATGGCGTGCAGCTCTACAAAAGGGCGCGGCAACATATGAAGCAAACAGAACAGCAAGACTTATTAAGTAAAGGATGGACAGAAAGACGACTGCAAGAGATCCCCTCCCTGCCACAACACTCATTCTCTGTCCTCACTGTCCAAGAAGTTTTCGGGCCCGCATCGGCATCAGTCTTCGTACTCATCATCATCAATAGGTGCCTTGCCGACTGGCGTGGGCGATCATGCCTCTCCACAATCTGCGATCTCCTGCAGCATGTATCAGTTCGTGTGCCGACACACCTCCATGCCATGCAACAAGACTGTCAAGAATCTTCTCTCGTTGTCTTCCTCAATCCCTCCTTCCAGAGATGTTTCCTGTGGTTACAACATGTTCTATTTTCCCTCTTCTCATAAAATGGCCGAAAAATGATGACTGTCTCCTTCTGATGTCTGTGATAAGCTGTCTTCGGGCTCCCGCCTCTTTCAAAACCTCTTGGTTGCTTTCGTACTCATACTTGATGAAAAAAAGTGGTCATCATCATCTTGATGGACAACACACAATATTTATTTATATTATAGCGTACGTTGGGACTGACTGAGATGACCCAATTATGACCATCTTCAGTAACTTACTGTACGGTAAGTTACTGGAGACAATCATGACCCAAGTATGGCCATCTCCAGTAACTTACTCTACGGTAAGTTACTGGAGACGGTCATGACCCAAGTATGGCCATCTCCAGTAACTTACTCTACGGTAAGTTACTGGAGACGGTCATGACTCAAGTTGATGTTGAATGTTTAATTGACATCACAGTTCTCGGGACACTCCCATAAGTGCTCAGTCCCTATCTTCAGCATCAAGCGAGGCGTTTCAGTTAATAAGAGACCCACGTTAATTAAAGGAGGAATCGATGTAAATCAGTCTGATTGCTGTATTCAATTTAAAAATGCTACAACAAGTAAAAGTAAATAGAAATAAAGTACAGATCCCTTTTCACACCTTATGCGCATCGGGCAAATGGGGAGAGCACCCCATATTTTTTTTACAGACCAGCTGGCTCCAGGTAGGTAATGTGGTCAACATTACGCCGGCCGTCTTTACTTCCCCAGGACATACATCCTGGTACCCATTTTAGGCTGGGTCGACCTGCGGCGCCCTATACCATTTTAAAATTCCACGCAGCCAGCAGTGGGTTTCGAAAGCGGTACGTTTGGAATTACGAGTCGGAGTCGCAACACCTAAGCCACGGACGCCGCATAAGAGTAAATAGAAGCCTCAGATAATAATAATAATACAATTTTAAAATATCAGTGTGGAAAATTAAGGGTGCGGGAGTTGGGTGGGTTATTCAAAATATATTTAAAGAAACTGCTTTGAAAATATCGTCGTCATCATCATCAGGTGCCTTGCTGACTGGCGTGGGCGATCATGCCTCTCCTCAATCTGCGATCTCCTGCAGCATGTATCATTTCGTGTGCTGACACACCTCCATGCCATGCAGCAAG